TCTTATCATTTGGTGGTTTAAAATATTGTATATATAAATATTATTTGTGTGCATGCATAGCCTCTCCTATAAATATCATGCTTCCTTACTTGAATCATTCATTACAATCCTTTAAGATAGATTTCTACCATGAAGTAGTGTTAGAGAGAGAGAGAGAGAGAGAGAGAGAAGAAAGAAAAAGAAACAAGATGAAGAACATGTGTATTTATCTTGCAATATTTCATACTTATCATGGTGAGTGGGTTATGTAATGTGTTCTAAAAGTTCTTATTTTGTGATAAATGTGAAAATCATGGATTACCATGGGTTTATTCTATTTACAAACCTCTCTCTATTTTCAAGTCAAGCATGTCTAATTTGTGCAATATTTCACACAATATATATTATTTGGAGTTTTTTTGAAGTATGTATTATTCATGGAACATGAGAACTTCAGTGACGGGGTATCCGAAGGATAAATTTACTAGACGGGGACATAGGGCAGTGAGGCCGATAGGGGTCACGTACTGGGTACAATTTGTGAAGGATAACCAAGATATGAAGTAATGATGTGATATGATATGGATTGTGTATCTTTTTATTGTATTTTTCTAGAGTGTGGAAAATGACATTGCTTGACTGGCATATTACATAATCTACTCACTGAGCGGTGGTTTGCTCATCCCTCACCTATTTTGTTTTTCAGATCAATTAGTGGGCAAGACAAAGCTGAAACCAGAGAGGTTGGATTAGTTTAGAGTGATAAACTTTTATTTATATCTTGTACCCTTGTAAGATTATTATATTTTTCTTTTTATAAATATAATGGTAATGTATTTTAACCAATTTTTCAGTCATTTTATTTATTTATTTCAATTCATGCACCCTAATTCGGGAATATTCTTTATTCTCGAATCGGGTCGTGACAATGATATATTTGACGTATGGAACAACTTACCTTTACCACTACTCCTAGAAAATCATTTAAAGATTTTGAAAATGCATTACAGGAAGATAAATGATAGTTAACGATAATTTGCTCCGTGGGAGGCTTGTTTGGTCGGGGACCCTTTGAACGTTGCTGGGGGTCTAGTATTTATAGAAAAATGATGAAGCTTGTGAAGGCATGATCTGAGGACTATCATCTACCTTTCCTTTCTTAGTGGCAGTTCCCTTTGTTTATTCCTAGTGGCTCAAGTGGCTGTCAATCAGAGCGTTTCCCAAGTTAGTGGGAGCATCTTTATGGAGCTCGGCCCTTACCCTAGGCCTCTATTGTTCGTAGCCGTGATCGAGCATCTGGCCAACAGTTTGCCTCGTAATGGTGACTTTGGTGTAGGTCCTGCAGCATTACGGTCTGAATTAAAGTATTTCCCCCTTTTCAGTCATGGGGTGGAAAGTTTTTGCTTTCCCAGGAACCCCGTTCTAGGTTTTCCTCGGTAGGACCCTCCTTCGCGCATCTCGAAATGGTGGATAGGTCATAACCATTATTTGTTGTCTGCTGGCCGTTCGACCTTGCCCTAGGATAACGTGGTCGTGGTTTCGAACCTGTGGCATGCTAGTGATGCGGCCTCAACCTCCATCCATCCATGACTGTGCATATTTCAACTCAACCTTTGATAAGATGGTTGTGGCTTCCTACCAAGGCTTGTTCGATTCGTTCGATTTTCAGTCGGTAATTAAGCTGCTGGGACGTCGCCACGTGGTTGAGTCGATAATTTCAGGCATAAACAGAACGCTTCATAGGTATTGAACATGTTACAAGTACCATAGCTGAACCACTTAAACAAGTATTGATGCATTATTTTCTAGACATAAATTGAGTATGTGTAGACACAAGTATGTATTATTTTCTAGACACTAGTATCAAGGTTATGATGGGGCCAGTAATATGAGTGGAGAGTTCAATGGTCCGAAAACACTTATTATGAGGGAGAATGAGTTTTTTTACTATGTTCACTATTTTGCACATCAACTTAGTTCACTATTTTTCTTTCTTCACCTTAGTTTCTAATGTGGTAAATATTGTTGGAGCATCATCTAAGTGTCATGACATTCTTCGGGACACGCAAGCTCTCAAAGTAGTTGAATCACTAGCCAATGGGGGGCTTTCTAATGGGAAATGTTTAAATAAAGCAACAGATATTAAGCGTTCATGTGATACACGTTGGGGCTCATATTATGCTATGTTGATAAACTTTATTACCATGTTCTCATATACAAATGATGTGCTTGATGAAATTGCAAATGATAGATTGACTGTTGATAAACAAATATCAGGCATTTATACTGCTAGAATTAATGCAATTATTTGATTTTGTATTCAGTTTGCATTTGATGAGGAATTTACTTGGAATCATGAACGCATTGTCACAAGCTTTATAGAGGGATGATCAAGATATTGTGGTTGCCAAAGCTTTAGTTGAATTATGTAAGCAATAATTCCAGAAGATGTAGCCCTCCCTACTTGAAGATGACCTTATATCACAAAAAGATAAGAGAAAACACATAACAAGGCCCCAAACCACACAAGGAAATGGAAGGGTGCCCATCCGGCCACAAAGAAAACAAAGGCTAGAAATCAAACCACGTAAAGGAAGTAAGAGAAAGAAAGAGACGCCCAATTAAACTTGCACAATACAATTTTCAAACTGATGCTCGAAAGATAGCCAAAAACCAAAAACTATGGAGAGAGAGAGTGTTGGGTCCATGCATGCAGTGTTGACAGTATAATGTTTTGTCTATATTAAATAATTCAGTCTTGATGTTGATGCATGCATTTGTACTTACGTTGAATCAATTTTCAATACTCACACCAAGCAACTCCAATGTGAAATTTCAATAATAAAAAAAACTCCAATGTAAAATGAGGAGAATGAGTGTAAAATCTCATGCGGACCCACCTATGCGAGCTTCTATCAGACTCTTACTAGAATTATTTAGGGTTTGTCCAATATAGATCCCTACATTTTCTATTTCCTAGACATATACCCATCACTCTATAAATCTATGTGTAAAACCCAATTTCAAATTTAAATGACCAGTAGGATATAAGAGGTCGTAGTATTCCTAGGTTTTTACATCGTTGCCACCAAACTTCATATTTTATTTATAATTTATTTCAAGCATTTCATTAACTATCATAATTGTAATTAACACTTCCTATTAATAGCATATCAATCACCTCATTTCTTTTGGTTGTCATTCCCTCTCACATACCGCCCCCTAAAATTGCAAACCAAAAAAAATGTCTGTAAATTACATATCCAATAATGTACCTATGAAAAATATAAATTTAAATATATTATTTAAATAAAATATAGGTATATTATTTACAAAAAAAAAAAAATTTTAAAAAAACTAAGTCAATTACTTTGTAATTGAAATTTCCGTACATTTTTCATAAATTAAAAATAGGTACACAATAATTTATAGAAAATATAGGTACATTATTTACCCATAGGTAAATTATTTTACAATATACCTATAAATGTGTATAGGTACATTATTTAGAGAGGAAAAATGGGTTCAGTTAAAAAAATACGTACATTGTTTTACTAGGTACATTATTAGAGGAAAAAAATAGGTACATTATTTGGAGAGAGAAAATAGGTTCATTTAAAAAAATTATTTTTCATAAAACAAATAATAGGTACTTTATTCAGAGAAAAAAAGGTACATTATTTTGAGAAAAAAATAGGTACATTATTTAGAAAAAAAATAGATTCATTAAAAAAAAAATTGTTTTTCATAAAACAAACAATAAATAGATTATCAAAATATTTTTCAACATAATTAGAATGTACAATATTATTCATAAAACTATAATAAAATAGATTACTAGTAGTATAATTCATAAAAGGAAAACAACAAAAAATAAATAAATAAATAAACCAAAACGTTTTTTTTTTTTTTTTGGGGTCATAAAACAAACCAAAACGTTATACTAATACTTTAATGTTGAATTTCATATTTAATTTCAAATAAGTTTCTAAATTAATTCCTACATCCATTACAACAATTTGAAGATCTTTCCAAATTCAACGTGTGCCATTAGTTACACCCCACATAAGACGTTAACTTGTAAATAGGGGTAGTTTTGGAATCCGAAAAATAGAATAAATCAGATTTTAAGCTAGATTAGGTAACTTGCTTACTTGGATCATAGTCATTGGGTTTTTTTTGAAAAAATTGGGTATTTTAAATAGAAAAATAAAGAAAAAGGTTGTAGGTGATTACACATGAATTTTATGGGTCTAAGCTCAATTTACTATAAAAAAAACTCCAATGTAAAATGAGGAGAATAAGTGTAAAATCTCATGCGGACCATTCCCAAAAGGAGTTAACACTCTCAGATCGCTGGACCGCAGACATTCCAGCTAAAAAAACATCCCTCACATGCAACGCTTACACTATTTTTGGTCTTCATACAATGACTGAGTCCATTCATCATCTTTGAGTTCAAAAAATTTCAAGAATTTTCCACCATCTTTTTTCGAACTCTTCATTTGTAGATGACCTGTCGATGAACTTTTCAAATTCCGCCATAAAATTTTCATGCCGTATAGTTATATGGCCAAGATTTTTAGAAACCTTCCCCAACATATGCCACAAACAAAAACAATGATAAGCATTTGGAAAGACCTCTGACATAACTGATTTTTTAGATTTGTCATGGTCAGTGATTATTACTTGTGGAGCTTGCGCACCACCACCCATAGCTTTCAGCTACGTCTGTTGATTCCCATAGTATTTAATTATCCCTTTTATACTTTTGTCGGCAGTTAATTGTCCAAGTTTTTATCCTTTCAGGTAAGTAGGGTCATTGATTCATTTTCTCGTTGTTTTGGTTGCTGGCGATTCATGTTAGTATTCAATTTTAACTAGGTGGTTTTGCTAATCCAACATCACCCGTCCATTTTTTAGAGATCCAACGGCTGAGCATCACTTTCATGAGGACCTAGTTGGTTTTGCAAGACCTGGTGGGCGCTTCCTCCAGTAGTTACTAGTTTTCTAACAAATAATGCAGTTTACGGGGTTTCCCAAGCGACATATTGAGTTGTAGTGTAGAACTAGTACTGTATTCATTTGAAGTGAAGCGAGCTATTCTTCTCCCTCTCTCTCTCCCGAGCTCCTCCTCCATCATTTTTCGGTAAGTACGTCCAGACCTTGATTGTATCTAATTACTTAATTATCTGTAATCATATATATACATATATATAGTTAAGTTGATATAATTAAGAGGCCGTTAACTAATAGGGAGGTACGGACTGTAACGGAACTACCATCACAGGAAATGGAACCGCATCATCGAACACAGGACTTTGAAGAAATAAATGATGATGCTGATAACTTGCGCTTGTACCAGCAGCTGTACAGCTATGCTACTCATGGCAACACAAATAGATTTAACGACACTATTGCAAATGAGCTTCATGATCCTAATGCTCGGGTTCAGCTTCTGTCTCGACGGAGCCCCCAGAATAACACATTTGTTCACATAGCTGTGAGCTCCGGCCATGTTGAACTAGCAGCCAAGATCTTACAACAACACAAGCCCCTTTTGTTAGAGAAAAACTTTGAAGGCGACACCGCGCTCCACATTGCGGCCAAAGCTGGGGATATAGATACGACAACAAACACTCTTCTCCGTGAAGCACGAGGAACAACAAACGTTGAAAATAATGGTGATGTATTGACGTTGCTGAGGATGAAAAATAATGAGGAAAACACTGCCCTGCACGAAGCCCTGATTCGAGGTCACCAATTAGTAGCCAAGTGTTTGATAGAGGCTGATCCTGCCGTTTCACTTTACACTAATAAGGAACAAAAGTCCCCTTTGTATCTGGCCGCTGAACAAGGGCTTGTTGGGATAGTGAAGCTAATAAAAGAAAAAGTAGTTGAGAAGAACACAAAAATTCAAGGCAAGTCCCCATTGTTTGCTGCAATTCTAGGCCGCCAGAAAAAAGGTTCGTACATTGAAAGAATAATTCTTCTTTTTATTTAGGGCTTGTCTAATATAGGTCCCTACAATTTCTATTTCTTACATCATTCTATAAATCTATGTATAAAACCCAATTTCAAACTTAAATCACCGGTAGGATATAAGAAGTCATAATATTCCTATGTTTTTACATCGTTGCCATCAGACTTCATATTTTATTTATAATTTATTCCAAACATTTCATTAACTGCCATAATTGTAATTAAAACTCCGTATTAATAGCATATCAATCACCCCATTTATTTTGGTTGCCATTCCCTCTAACATATCGCCCCTAAAATTGCAAACCAAAAACAAATGTAAATTACATATCCAATAATGTACATATGAAAAATATAAATATAAATATATACTTATAAAAATAGAGGTATATTATTTACCAAATTTTTTAAAAAAAAACTAGGTCAGTTACTTTGTAATTTAAATTCCGTACATTTTTCATAAATTAAAAATAGGTACACAATAATTTAAAGAAAATAGATACGTTGTATAATTCAAATTTATGCACATTTTTTCAATTGAAAGCAGGTTCATTATACTAGGTAAATTATAGAAAATAGATACGTTGTATAATTGAAAATAGGTTCATTATACTAGGTAAATTGTTTTACTAGGTCCATTATTAGAGGAAAAAAATAGGTACATTATTTGGAGAGAAAAAATAGGTTCATTTAAAAAAAAATTGTTTTCATAAAACAAACAATAAAAAGATGATCAAATTATTTTTCATAAAACAAGTAATAGGTGCTTTATTTAGAGAAAAAAATAGGTTCATTTAAAAAACTATTGTTTTAAAAAAAAAACAAAAAATAGATTATCAAATTCTTTTTCAACATAATTAGAATGTACACTATTATTCATAAAACTATAATAAATAGATTACTAGTCGTATATAATTCATAAAAGGAAAACAACATAATTTTTTATTAAATAAACCGAAACGTTAATCACCTATGGATTACTAATAAATTAATGTTTAATTTCAAATAAGTTTCTAAATTAATTCCTACATCCATTATAATTCATAAAGGGAAAGAATGTGTTTTTTTTTTTTTTTTGTCTGAACCATGAGGTGGTCCTGGATGGGCCCCAACTATGGGTGGCACCTTTAAGCTTTAACCACAACCCAGACTAATCCCCATTCACACCGGGTCGGCCCGTAAGGGGTAAAGTGTTGGCCAAAGTGGTGACTCCGTACGAGAGCAGGGATCGAACCCCTGACCTCTCTTAAGGAATGAGAGTGCTGAACCACTCACACCAACCACCTTGGTTAAAGAATGTGTTTTTGCTCCCTATAGTTCTTGATCCCTATATGTTTTAGGTTCTCTAAATTATCTACAATTTCAAGGTACATTAACATACAACGAACTAAGGTAATTAATTCTTGGTAACTAAAAAAGAATTATCGGTAATAAATTTACCTACACAATCTGGGTGAATTCTTATACCTAAAAAATGGGTAAATTAGTACCCTTTTTTATTTTTATAAATAGCGTGCCTATTTGTTCATAAATAATGTACCATTTTTCATACAATAATGTGCCTATTTTTTTCATAAATAATGTACCTATTTATTTAATAGAACTACTTTCAATAGTAACGTTTATATTTTGTTACATGAGCTAGAGGAATTTTGAACTAATTTTGATTGTAGCTCATTATTCCGTTGCTTAAAATTTGGGACTTAAAAAACCGTCAGCAATTAAAGAGTGATTTAATGGCATAATTGGTAAATAAAATCAAATTACATGGACACATCCCATATGACATCTAATTTTAAAATTGGGTTTTACTTAAAGGTTTTATTATTGGTGAGTTATGGTCTAGAATTTTTGAATTGTAAGGGGCTATATTATTGTGACTTTTTTTTTGTGGCAGCAACCAGTGTGATAGATTTTGATAGATGTTACACCCTCTTCATAGAAAAACATTATCAGTATAATCATGTAGTTCTAATTTATACTTGATTCATTTACTGACGCCAGAAATCCTAAAGATAATATCAAACATGGAAGCAAATAATTTGAACTCAAAAGATGAGAAAGGGAGGACTCCATTGCATTGTGCAGCATCAATTGGCTTTCTAGAAGGGGTTCGCTTCTTAGGCAGACGTCTTGTGGATTCTCATCAAAAGGATCATTGTGGAAACTTTCCGATCCATTGTGCATCAAGCAAAGGTCATGTCAACATTGTTAAAGAGCTGCTTCGATATTGTCCCGATTCAATGGAATTGAGGAACTCAAGTGACCAAAATATACTTCATGTTGCAGCAAGATGTGGCGAGGACAATCTTGTGAAATATTTTCTCAAGAAGGTTGAGTTTCAAATGTTGATAAACCAAAAAGACAACAGAGGAAATACTCCTTTGCACTTGGCAAAGATGTACCATCATCCCAAGGTTGTGGACCTTTTTATTTTGGATAGGAGGATCAACTTAAAGGTCTTGAATGATAGGGGCATGACAGCTCTTGGCATTTCAGAAAGCACTTTGGAAACTAGTGCATCATATCATGAGGTAAGTTTCTGCTATATCTACTTTTATCATATTATTGATGATGATGATTTTGGCTATCATAACCAAGGGACGTCCTTGTTTTATGCAGTATGTTAGGTACAAGTCGGCATTTAGTAGTCTAGAAATTGAACAAAGAACTAAAAGGAGAAACAATTAATTGAGAGAATACTGAAAACACTTGAGGCTGATATAAATAAGCTGGAATGGATGATTTAAAATAGGGATCATCAACCCCATTGTTCAACAAGTCATCCATCTCATAACAATGGGAACCACATCGGGTTGGATCTGAACTCCATGATGATCTGACTGGCCCATCCTCGTTGAAATCCCTTCTTTCCATCTCGCTTTCTCCTTCTATGCCTCCAAATTCGCCCACCCAATCAACACCACCAACAACTGCTCGCCAAATCCTTGCATTCGATACCCCTCTTGTTCTCCCTAAACCCTTGCGATCGTTAAGTCTTGAGGGAAAGTAAGATTTCAAGAGTAGAGAGACGAAGAATGAGTTTTGATACTTACGAGAGAGAGCGCGAGTGGATTTAGATTGGTCAAATTTTTTGAGGCAAAGTGTAAAAATTTTTGGGCGTGAATTGAACTGAGTAAAAGGCTAAAACTTTTACTAAAAAAAACTTGAAATATATATGGCATCAGTTTAAATATCGACTGATGCTACTTCATTGGCAAGGATTGCCAAGCATTAGTAGCGAGGTCTTTATAAACCTATGGTCCTCCTATTACTTATGGAACTGGTGCCTTAGAGACTAACAACATCGGTTTCTTAGTTTACCGATGCATATCAACCGATGCCTAAAGTGAATTTTGACATAGTGAAATCTGGTAAATTAACGCATAGAATTAAGGGAACTCAATAGGAACTTTATGATTGTGGTAGATACTAACCCAATTTCACCTAATCTAGATAAGGTCAATGACTAAAATATAGCATCTAATTTTACAATAATGTAATTAAAAAACCTCTAAATTACACACATTCTCGGCTGCCTCCTCTGCCACCACCTCCTCCAACTAGAGACCAACTCTGGCCCCCCTTATTCACTCTGAAAAATAGAACATTTTGTGTACTTTAAGGCACTCAAGCCTTCCCTCAAAGGAGGAAGTCTCAATCACAAACCATTGCACTCACTTTATTTTTGTGATATTTGTTCAGTTACACAATATTTATATTAAAAGACAAAGGTTTTTTTAGAAAAAAAAAATTATTTAATCAATACCGATTCATGCATGATTCCAAAATTTATAAGTTTTAAACCCTTATGTATATTATATTGTTATTAATATTTTTTAGGTATATACAATAGATTCTGCAATGTAGTGTATGTTTTTATGTTACTCTTATATTGGTATATGTAGACTTGTACAATAGAAACTGCAATGTAGTGTTTATTTTTATGTTACTTATATATTGATAATTTTAGACTTATAGAATAGAAATTGCAATTCAGTATGTATTTTTATGTCACTTTTATATTGGTTTTGTTTAGGCTTTTAGAATAGAAAGGGCAATGCAATGTGTATTTTTATGTTATTATTGGTATACTTAGGCTTTTACGATAAAACTGCAATGCAGCGCACGTCTTTTCTTTCTTCTTCTTTAAATTTAAAAAAAAAAATTAAATTGAATGAAAATGGTGTCACGTGACAATTGGTGGTGGGTGGTGGCCGGAGATGGTGGTCAATGAGTGGCAGCGGAGGATGGCAGCGGTGACTAGTGTCAGCGGTGGAAGAGGGTGTTGGCGGGTGGCAGTTGGTGGCAGGTGGCAATGGGGGTTTATAGTTGTGCCAAAACAAAAAAGAAGGGAAAAGGACAAACGTAAGTGTAAGTCATGCCTATAGGTATAGCACATGGGCTTACTCATTGACCTTTAACAAAACAAAATTTAAAACTAATTCACCTAGCCCAAAACAAAAATAGGCCATCATATACTAATTATTAAAGTTTTTTTTTTATCACTATACACTAATTTTTCTTAGAATTAATCCATTTGACACTCTAAATTCGAGACAACTACAATTTAAATTTTATTCACCATTATTATTGTTTTTTGAGTTGGGATTAATTTTTGATACTACATGCACGATTCTTATGCCTTGGTTTCAAGCAGCAAAGTTTTCAATATAATAATAGTACGAGTTGCGCAGGTGATACCTGCTGTAAAAGAACCAAATGGCGTGATCCAGTTATATTCCTCAGAGAAAAATGCAAGAGGCTCAAGCAGCCTACCTGAACTTGATCAAATTTTGGTTGAGCCAGGTATGGAAACAAAAAGAACTACTGCCGCTGCTGTTCAGATTCAGCACACAGCAGTAGCAACAGCTTGGTGGCTGATAAATAGACTGGTAAATTGCTTGGAATACCCAAAAACTTGGTTGGAAGAGACACGTAGCATGCTGATGATTGTGGCAACCATGATATCAACTACAACTTTCCAAGCTGCAGTTAACCCACCCGGTGGTGTTTGGCAAGACAATAATACAAATAGTAGCGCTGGAGGCACTACTTATTGCACCCAAAATAACATATGCTTTGCTGGAACTTCAGTGGCAGGCAGCGCCTTCCCAAAAGAGTTCCTCGCGTTCGTAACATTCAATACCGTCTCGTTTCTTGCTTCTCTTTGTGTCAACCTTTTGCTTGTTGGGGGATTTCCCCTCCGGAATCGCGTAATTATGTGGCTTTTATCAATGGCCATGTGTCTCACTCTCACTTCTATGGCACTCACCTTTTTACTGGCTAACCTGTTAGTAGTTCCTAATACTGACATTCTCGTTTCACAAGGAGTTATATCCCGTAAATCCGCTGTGTGGGCTTGGATTGCGTTGCTTCTAACCATTGCTTCAATCCACACCATTCGCTTAATCATTTGGTTGTCAAGGAAGTTGTGGGGCAGGTTCAAGCATAAGATCCCAAAAAGCCTCAGGAACGTGGTTGATAGTTTGGTGGATAGTTCGAGAGCACGTCACCGTACCAACAAATTCTGAGGAGAATATACGCCTGTTGTTTCCTTGTGTGTTGGAGGAACTACACCGGATTGCTAAAGTAAACCATCTATTTGACGATGGTGAATGTGTTTAACGAGAACCAGCAGGTTGTGTTTGGCTAGTGAGCTGTGTTTGCCTTAATTTGTTTCTGTTACAATTTGTCAAGAGTGAGTCAGAATGATCAGTTTGTTTATTAATCTGAAATCTATTTTTATTTCCTCCATACATATATATATACTAGCCTCTCTGCACGCGCTTCCGGGCTTGCGAGAGGCTTTTTAAAAAAAATTTAAAATTTATTTTAGAATTAAAAAAGATAATGGGTAGTTGTGTTCCATAAAAATAGGATTCATTATCTGATTTTTCTTTTAATTTAAATTTTTTTTAATATGAAAAAGTGTGAATTTACCATATTATCCTCATTTAATTAATAATTTCAATTCATAATATTTGCATTAACCAAGGGCATTTTCTGGTATTTTGAATGTTTCACCATTCTCTGCCTTTTGCTTTATATATATAGATAACTAGCCTCTTCGCACGTGCTTCTGCACCTGCGAGAGGTTTTTTTTTTTTTTTTTAAAATTTATTTTAGAATTAAAAAAGATAATGGGTAGTTGTGTTCCATAAAAATAGGATTCATTATCTGATTTTTCTTTTTATTTTAATTTTTTTAATATGAAAAGTGTGAATTTACCATATTATCCTCATTTAATTAATAATTTCAATTCTTAATGTTTGCATTAACCAATGGCATTTTTTGGTATTTTGAATGTTTTACCATTCTCTGCCTTTTGCTTTATATATATAGATATATACACAATCCTCTTCTATTGAGGGATCCCTCTTTAGTACAAAAAATTTTCAACGATCCAAACAATTTATTTTTTCAGTCTACATTCATAGATCATTCTTGCAAAAAATTAGACAAATCGGAAACAGATTCAATATCCAATTGTGTCATACAAAATCAATGAACACGGTGCTTCAAGAAAGTACTAAAATTTTAATAATTCAATTTAGTGGTCAAATGACATCAGATTCAAGGGATTTTTTTTTGTAGAGATGATCTTTGAATGAGTATCTATAAAATAGACGGTTTGGATAAGTGAAATACAATACGGAGGTTTTTGTACTTGCTCAATTTTAACTAAAAAATAAAGATCATGAATGCGGATGCTCTAAGCTTTGCTTAGCTACTAAAAAAGTACAAAGACGAGGAGGAGAGGAAGATGACGAGATTCAGACACGCCACTTTGGGAAGGAAAATTGAGAGGTGAGTGAAATATTTTACCGGGTTGAGAAAACGTAAAATTTAGGTCAGGTGACGCAAAAGTTAATATAGAAAAGCAAAGTTTTATAACACGACGGTTTTGATAAAAACGGCCCTAGTATAGCAGTTAATACGACACGATACATGTAGAAACCGATGTGGTTGATAATAATGTCAAACGACTTTTAGTATTACGAAACTACCGTGGTTATTTACAATTTTACACGACAAAAGTGTATTTTTGCAGACGTGGTATAGTATGTTAATACAACGCTCTTTATGAATAAACCGTTGTGGTTATTTACAATTTTACCTGACAAAAGTGTATTTTTGCGGATGTGGTACATTAAGTTAATACGGCACTCATTATGAATAAACCATTGTGGTTAGTTGGAACAACCTCGATGCTATATTCTACAATAACGACGTTTATGTGTATAGACCAAGTGGTGTACTTACTTAATACGTCTTGTAGTAGTAAAATTGCGACATGGTATATCCTTTAGAAAATGGTAGTTAGATTCCTAGTGACGTTGTAACACTTTATTACGGCGTAAGAAAAAAACCATCGACGCCTTACAAAATAAAATTATTAGGTGGGCTTTTCTTTTCCTAGGACCCATCTGGATGTAAAGATAAATTGGGGTTGCTCAATCGGTCTTCACTTTTACTTTTCTATTAGGGTTTCCAACTCTAACTAAAGTCGCATATGCCCTTGGTTCTCTCTACCTCTTTGAAGGACTGGATTTGGGTGCAATAATTTGGATGTTGGTATGTGTGTGTCTCTTTCCCCTCTCTGAAGGTCCAAAATATTGTCTTTCTCATATTGGTGGTTCAATTGTGATGAGGAACATAGCTCCCACTAGTAAGATTTCATATCTCTAAGGATCTCATTTGCATTTCTCTGACGATTTCATTTAGTAAACAAGCCTAAAAATTATATCGCATACGACAGTTTTCCACATAAACCGTCGTGTTTTTACTCTATACTTGCCATTTTGTTGATCTACTGTCGTAGGTTACCAAAACCTAGAAAATAAATCTTAAAAAGCAATACAAATTTCAGATGACGATAGTCACAGAACGACAATTGTATAAAGGAAATAAATACGACGGTATTTTTTAGTTAACGATGTGGATTCCTATAATATTATACAACGCTTATTATGAAGAAACCGACGTGGTTAGGTACAAACAACCCGACGCTATATTCTACAATAACGAAGTGGTAAATTACATTTACCATGACCGTTTATTTATACAGACCGTCGTGGTGTACTAACTGAAGGGAATATTGTGGGAATGGTGTTGTGTAGAGATTTCTAAAAACTCTACAACCAAACTTTGAGAGTATAAATCACCTACACCTAGCATGCCATATCTAATATGAAATCAAAGTAAGAGCGGAAGATTAAATAAACTAGGGATTCATGCAAGTCTCATTTGGTCCCAATCTTTATAAGTCTATGAGTGTGCACCAAAGACTCTCTAAATCCTATTTGAGAGAAAGATAAGATGTTCATACCCTTGGAGCGAATCTTGGAACCAAGAATGGTGTTCAAGTAGAGGGAGTGGTCTCTTTGTTGTTGGCTCTCCCTTTGATGTTGATTCTCCACCTTGTAGCTCTCCAAATACATACAAAGATATGCACCTCCCCAAAGCTCTTCACCAAGGATTGAATGAGATGAGAGAATGAGTAGACAACAAGTAAAGACTGGTGCTAGCATCCTCACTTGATGTGATAGATTCAAGGGGTTAGGGAGAGAGAGCTTGATGTTTTCTCTCTTCCAATTTCACCAACTTGAAAACCCTAGGATGATAGGATTTCATAGCTACACACTTATAGGATCAAAAATGTCACAAGAGTGACAAAAATGCCCCCAAGCCCTAGTGTATAGCCACACCCCTGGTTTTGTGTGTCATCTTTTGCTATCTTGGTCCAACACATTAATCCTATAATGTGTCACATATGTGCCTAAGTCCATATGGTTAAATCCCTTTTGAATTTCCAAGTCATATGGGACCTTTAATTAAAGTTTCATAACTTCAATTTAATAATTAAATTAATCTAATCAATATAATTACTTTAGTGACTTGACTAATTCAATCACTCACTTGTCTAACGAGTGTTGGTCCTGGTCATTCTTAGTTGACCATGTCAAGTGTCGCATCAACCATTTGACCTTTGACCTTTGACTTTCACATTGACTTTGACCAAGTCACAAAATCATTCATTCTCTTCATAATTTCCCAATTGATTCCTTTTCGGTGTTCAATCTTATAGGTTCTAATTAGCGAGGTAGTGGGTATGAATGATTCACTCTGAATCAAGTGTGAATTGTATCCCTCCATACAATTCTCCCTATTGGCGACGGCTAATTATAATTAGCCCTTATAGGGCTTCCACAAGCCATGAGTGACACCTAGCAGTATGTCATGGCTACCCAAGCTAAAAAGAATTCATTTAGAGAACCTAATCAGTTTGTGATTACAATGCAATTTGATCCTTCTCTAATTCAATTCTCTATGTCATATTCTCAGGATATGGTAAACTTGTGTCAAAATCTCTAATATGACATCTCTTGATTATATGATTCAATTTGATGAAATTGCAAACTATTGGAATATTTTGATTCACTCTTATGGAACAGTTTAGCTTTCAAGCAAAACCACTTGTTTTTATCTGATATGTTTAATTAAAGTGGTCATAAGGGTTTCATGTGTTTTCTTTTGTTTAGTTATTAACTTATTGTATTTTTGTTGTCAAACTAGTTAGTTCTAATGTGATACAACGTAGCTCTACTTCAGGTTTGTTGATGCTCAAAAATGGTTTGGCACTTTTGGGCCCAACTTAGTGATATGTTGGCCTTCGGAATGTCTTGGGCCTCGGTAGAGCGCTAGATCTGCAAAAACAAGGGCGCTCGGTAAGACCTAAGGCACTGGTGTGGTACCGGTCGAAGGCTCTCCGATACTTAAGTAAGTACAGAGTGAATAGTAATCTGGATAGACTAATGGCTAAGTATGCCGAAAGTTCAAGTTACCTCCATTTTGGGACTTATGCCCTTTTTATAAATCTTGGGAGGTGTGCAAGTTGTGTATATTTTTTATATGGGATTGTAGATATTCATTGTGGGTGCTCCATGTGTCCAGAAGTTATTTGGGCTATGGCATTACGCTCGGCAGTCAGGAGGTACCGAATGCTGTCTTACCGATTCCATCTTTAGTCCACGTGTCGTTTCCTTAGTGGTCCGCCAATTGTGGCGAAAAAGAAGTTAAGAAAATGATCATCGGCACGTGTCAATCCTCTTCCACTGCTAGCTAATCGTGGTCATTCTTCAGCACAACAAGGCTCATCTGCAAAGACAGTTGCTGCTCCAGCAGCCGAACAGCCTTCGTATGCAGCTATTGCTACTATACAGCCGCAACGTACTGGTGTATCTGTACCAAAGAATGTCACCTTAAATGAGATGTTCACGGATCGAACGTGGCATGGAAATCGATTCACATTTCAAAACGTGCTTAGGTCAGTTTCATTTACCAACTTTTTAATTATATATAAAATTGTATTTACTACTTTTAACTTTATTCCTTTTTAGAAGTGCCATTGGGAAAATTGCTAATCTGGAGTTACAAGGTATAACAAAAGGGCCCTTGAATGATTTAGTTGTCATAGATACTGGCCATCAGGCTGAGAAGCAGGTGGATGAGATGTTATATTGTTCACCCCAATTAGATTTAGTTCCTATGATGGTAGAGTAAAATTCCCCATTGGCTTGAAAACCATTGGTGGTCAACAAGTCAACTTTCTTTGGTGTGCGAGCATGCCATTGTTAGCGGTCAAAACCCTAACAGACTTATGAAAAGTAGA